TATGCAAGTTCTCAAAAAATGTACCACTACATTTTTTTTTTCTCAGAAATTTCTAGAAAATGTGTTTCATCAAACAAAGGTAAGGATCAATTCCATAGCACAGCAGTTAAGCACTAGATAAAAGAAGCTGGATCCCATGCAGCCCACTGTGGCTGGAATCTTGGCCCTGGCAGCTTGAAAAACATATGAGGTTATGTGCACACCTGGTCTACATCCTGATTAGATGGAAAAAAATGGTTGAAGTGTAAATAGGCTCTACTGGGGTGCTTTCTCTTCTCCCTTTCTCTCTCTTTCTTGAGTGGATACACCCTCTGGCATAAAAACAACAAAAAAAATGTAAACCCAGAAAGAAGAAAACACATGTTCCATGAAACAGATTTTATGTCAAAAGCAAGGTGAATAGAATTCCCAGGATGATGAAAAATGGAAATTTTAAGACAACAATGACGGAGTAGACTTAAAGAACTTTACAGTACTGAGTGAGTCAGAATACCTTATAAAGATCTCCAAAGAAGGAAAAAAAATCTAAAATATCTCATGAATTTGAAAAATTAGCCATAAAGTATTTGCATAACTGGAAAAGACTCTAAGTCTGAATTAGTGATAAGTATACGAATAAAATAGTTGGGGTGAGGGAGATAATTACCAACCCTAGAATGAAGAAACTGTGAAGAAAGTGAAAACTGATCAAAATACATGGGTTCTGTTGTAATAAAACTAAATAAAAACACTGATAATTAACTTTAAATATGATATATGAATAGAAATTTAACTGTAGTAGAATGGGTGCAGTAGATATATAGTAGTAGAAAGGCAGAAACAGTACTAAATTTTCATGTACAACAATGGAAAGCAGAGAATGCTCCAAAATGGAAAATCAAGAGGAAGTAATCAATTCAACAGTGGTTAGGAATTTGCATGCAAATAACAACAGATTCACTCTGGAAAGTCCTTGTCTCTGGGAAGAAAGGAAACCTTAGGTAGTGAGAAGTGTTTATTGTAACAAGCCTTAGAAAAACATGCTACATGATTTTTTAACACACACACACACACACACACATTGAAAAGTGTCTTTGAAATTCATAAAGCTATTTCTTCCACAATGCATGTATGAGTGAGTGTGTATGTGTGCATGTGTATCTTCAGGAAAACTGGACTTGGGTGTAGATCCTAGTTTGCAGGACTGGGATTGTAACAACCATGATGAATGGTGCATCCTTAGGCACTTGTGAAACGGGAATTGTAGAACTGAAGCTTCTGCCTAACTTCTGGGCCCTGGACAGTCTTATCTGAGACCAATATTTCCGCCTATGGCCTAGTGACAAGGAAGTTTCAGTGTGGATGAAAGAAAAGGTATCCTGGCAGAACTTGAAAACCCAAACCAAAGCATCACACAGTCAAGGATAACTTCTCCAAGATATCCTAGGCAAAAATAATAATAATAATAATAAAAAATTGTCATCTGGTTCTTTACTAATGTATAGAAGACTTTTTTTCAACAACAACAAAAAAACTCAGCAGACAATTGTTTAAAAAAAAAGTATTTGAGATAATCAAGAATTGAGACATTTTCCATCAAAGATGTTTATCAAGAAAATTATGAAAATACATACATATAAAAGTAAAAAGAGAATAAAATGAAAGAGGATACAAGAAGCTATGGCGAACAAAGAAATCAGTAAATATATAGGTAATTATTAAAAAGCATTGCCTTAAAAATAATTTTCTGGTAGAACATTAAAAACAAGTGTAATTCTATACAAAGAGTAACACATAAAATGGAAATATCTGATTGGATTTAACAGACTTTAAGATTCTTGTTTTGTTTGAAAGGATGATAAAGATGTTAATTAACTTTAGATTTTATTAGGTCATGTATGCAAGATTAAATTATATTTTTTTCATTTCTTTATTTTTGAACTTCTTATTTATATTAAATTATTATGCATATTTGTGTGGTTCAGTGTGATTTTTGCAAAGCATGCATGCAATGTGTAATAATCCAACTAAGGTATTATTATATTCATCATTTTTAACTACAAAATAATAGAAATGGAACGTGTATAGTGAACAAATAGGGGCCATCTAGTGGTGTGGTGGTTAAAGCAGCTGGATTCCAGATAGACAACTGGGTGGCTTGAGTCCCTTGACTTGATAAACACGCCAGGCATATGTGCATGCATGTTCAAAGTCTTGAGAGGAGAATGAAGGAGAAAGGATATAGATATGTACTTTTATTAAGTATAAAAGTATATATTGGGTCATTGGAAAAGTCATGACTCATTTTTGGATGGAAAAAATAGGTCATGACTTTTCCAATGACCATAAAATATATTTATATATTTCAGTATATTCATAAAATGTATATGTCTGTGTGTGTGTATATATATATATATATATATATGTCCAATACACAAACACAGACACACACACACACAAGCATGAAGAGCATATATACAAATTTCTAAATAGTGATAACTTCAGAGGAGAAGGAGAGAGATGGAATAGTGTGTGTTTTGGAAGAGAAGACGTGACTCTTTTAGCAATTTCTATCACACTTTATTTCTTTAAGAATACATAAAACAAATATAATAATCTCTTACTGTATCATTTTCTTAACCTTTAGGTTTGAGGTTACTGAACCTCTTTATGCTTATTGGAATATTTTATAATGAGTTTTTTTCAGTAATCCAGTGAACTGCTCATACTTTAGCCTAGCTCTCATTTTACCTTTCTTTCATTCATGTATTTTTCAGTGTACTACTTAAATTTTCCACCTTTTTCATCTTTATTTATTCTTCTCTTCTCATTTTTTTTAACCAATGACACAATCCTGGTCACATTTACTCCCTATGATCCTATCATTGTCCACCCATCTCTTCTCCAAATCAAAGCAAGAAAAAATACAAATCCATCAAACAAGGACACCTACAGTTTTGAAAACATAGCACATAGTCATTGAGTATTTATGTTCATTGATCCAAACTGTCTGGGACATGCAGGTAGGGAAAAATTGAATCTCTAATGGAGTTAAATTCCCAGGAAGCAAAAACTATACCTCATGTTTGTGGATTTAATTAAAATACCCACTAAAGAGCTTCTGTGAGATTAGTTTCTTCAAGTGTAAAATGGGGAAAATCTCTACCATGCAGAATTGTCCCAAGGATTCAAATAATATATGCAAGTCATTAGGCAGGTGATCGACATATCCAGAGCTGAAAAGGATAAACAGGATTGGGATGTGATCTTAGTAAGCAATGAGAACATAGTAGCCTTATCATATTTGTTCTCTATCGTGTCCCTAGTCATACGAAGCCCAGATATTCTGAAATGGACATGATTTCAAGAACACTTGACTTAGAAAAAATTACAATTTGGAAAAAACAAAAAAACAAAAAACAAAAAACTAAAACCAACAAAAAAAAAGATTCTACTACATGATGAAGCCCATCCTGCTGGGGCACACAAGGCCAGAAACTGCAGCAACATAGCTCTTATAATGAATCCTGTGAGGTTCCCGGGGGTTGGGTCATCACATATCATAGAACCCAACAGATCCAAAATTAGTACGCTTTTTCTGTGAAACACTTTCATACAAAGCAACAAGCAACCGAACATTTCATTAACAGAAGATGTAATATTTAGACAAAATGAGTAAAACCTTGTGTTATTTACTGTGGCTTTTAAACATTTATTCCAAAAGGGATCAGGAAGTCCTGAAGTTTCCTTCAAAAAATGCAGTTCTCAAGTAATCTGCATTGGTAAATTCAAGCTCTATATTGCTCAAGCATCTCACCATTAAGAAGTTAAAATAAAAATTATTCTCAGGGAATGACTTGTGATGATCTGAATCATTGTCTCTTAGGGGTTATGACTCTCAGTATAAACTGAGTCAAGGAACATAAATAATTAACTCTTGGAAAGTAGAAAAATGATGAGCACACTGTGGAATTAAACCCAATCATGTTTCAAAGTTTAATATAGTTTTTATAAAACTGAACTCGCCGCATTGAATACATGAGTTTATATCTTTGTAATCTAGGTGACCTTGTACATTTAAATGATTATAGATTGCATGCCAGAAAATGCAATTGATTTGAAACTAATTTGAATATGTATAATATAATTGAAGCATAAATTCTGAAGCAGCGTTCACAAATATACTATGTAGTCCAGTTAAACCCTCTTCATAGTATGAAATGGTAGAAATTTTCATAATACAGGTAGATTGCAAATCAGCTTCCCTATACCCTCATCTTCCTCTAGGAGAAATAATGCATTATCAACCTGTTCTGTCCACACAAAAAAGACTGGAGTACTGAGACAGCTGAACACTTTCATAGCATTTAAAGCCATGTAGAGATAAATTTAAAACAGTGTAAGAATTATTTTCAGAAAGAATTAATGATAAAATATCCGTATTTTTCATTTGGTATATATTTACAAAAGTGTATTCACATATTGCTAAAAAGGATAAATATTTAAATTTAAGATAAGCATTATCAAAATAATTATATTTTTATTTACATTAGCTTGATAAATAGAATGAAATATTATACTCTAACAGGAGCTATACCATGAAAATACTATAAAAGAAACTAGTTTCCAGTTGTTAAGTAGAGTTATTCAGTTCAGTGATCACATTATATCTTCCAATAGCCACCTCATTGCTGAGATGAAAATTATCTTGGCTTAAATCAACTTTTACTCTCTTTAATTTGAGCTCTTACAACTTTCTGAGATGGAAATACCAGAGGTTTATTTTTTATTCATTCAATAAAATGCATAACTTTCCACTGCTGAGAGACATGTCATGTACAGATTGAGCAAATGTTACATGAAATCACTTAAATAAGAGTCCTTGGGCTGAAATATATAAAACTGAGATTATTTTGCTTGAAATAATGTGTGAAAAAAATTCAACAAAGAAGAAGAAAAGCAATTCTTTATTTTTATCCAAATATATCAGACTTGATCATTTAATTTCAACAAAAACTTTACCATATATCATCCAAATCAGGACATTATAAGAGTGAAAGGATGGTTTACCAATTGATCAGGCACAACAAGTATAAACTGAAATTATCCTAGGTAAACTGGGACTTAAAATCAACCTAGAAATAGGGATTAATCTGCAATTAAATGCAGAAATTATACCTTTCCCACACACATATGGAAAAGATAAAATACCATTTACTCAGTTCAATTAATTTTGGTACAAGTAGCTCTTTATCATTTGTGTCTGTTCAGATAACTACCTTCTTTCTAAGCCAAGCCTTCTTCTAAAATTAAAATAATTAGTTTTTAGTCTCACACTCATTTTCCATCATATTACCCTGATTTTGTTGTCTTACTTGTTTCATGGTCAAACTATCTCATTTGTTGTTTGGGTTTTTCCCCCTCTCCTGCTGGTATATACTTCTCATGGTAACCAGTGACCTTCTCCAGCTTAGTCATGTCCATATCCCAAGAAACTAAAAATGTCTAGGATAGACAAGGCATGCAAATATTCTCTTGGATAAATGAATACATTCAGAGAGTTTGTGCTTGGTCCCATCTTATTGGTACCAAATACAAATTCAAATGACTCTCCAAAGTAAAGTATGGCTCTATTTAGTTCTAAGATGTTGGACTAAACGACATATGCAATTGTTTCCACTTCTAATGAATACAACACACTCTCTGGACCCCCTTCTCTCTCTACTACTATTTAATTTTCTATATCCAGCAAATAAGAAAATTTGGTGGTCAAGGGATAGGGCAACTCACTCTATTCACAGTGGATGAATGCTCAAGGTTGATCATTTCGTCAGTAACAATTCCCTGGTATGTGTTTGCACCTACAAAATTTGGCTGATACAGAGGTAGCCAAAAGATATTATTATAGTTAATGATACAATAGTTGATGCAATAATGTCTAATAATATCACCACAGTTTTGTTTTAAAAAAATGTGTAATGAGAGCCCAAATCAGTCATTAATGACCTAGTATTCATGGGAAATGGATTAATTCTGGGCAGTCTTAGACTTTAATGCCCATGAAAGTTCTATAAGAAAACTCATGATTTTCTGATAAAGAGCACTTCTAAATTTTTTTAAAAAATCTCTGCATTCCAAATCTTTATTTTTATAAGGTATAGTAATGATCAATAGCTTTGATTTCCACTAATGAATCATACATAGTAGACACTGGGATTAAAAAAACAGCACTGATCAAATTTATTTGGGTAGGCCAAGGATCCAAGACACCAATAAAATTAGTGTTCAGCAAAAATAAAGTATGTTTAATATATCTTTGATTCATCTATTTTTAATTTCTCTCTGGTCTGTACAAAACATTCCTTCTGAACTATGAATGATAGGCATGGGATAGGTTTTTCAGGTGGAAAAAAAGTCTATTCTATTACAACAAATGCCAGAAACAACAAACAGCATTAAAAAGACACTCACTTAGACATACAAATTATTTTAAGCATAAATATTTATCATCTGTTTCATTGCATTGTTTTGTCTCCTTAAAGATAAATTATTGGTCTTTTAAAACAAATAAAATTTCCCAAAAAAAGAGTGAAATGTTTCCAGTTGACTCAGTTTTGAAACAAGGATCATTAATTATACTAGTTTTACATAGATTCTGATATAGTTAATACAACTTGGTTACTGACTATTACACTAATTCAGCATTTGTTTCGAGCTCATATTTGTATTAGAGTGCATACAAAACATATTTCTAGATTTTAATTATTCCAGGAAAGAATAAATTCTCAAATTAGTCAAGATTTATCTCCTCCCAGAACTAGCAACTTATAAAAATCATAAGAAATTTTCAATTATGTACCACATACTGGTATGCCCTACAATCTACAAGTTCAATATATAACGCCTCTATTTTCATAGGGCCATAAGTGGCACAAACTTATGTGACTCTCTCAGATAAAGCACAGTTGAAAACCATCCAGGACCTTAAACAGCAGAAAACATTAAATCAGATTTTAAAATGACAAATAATTTAAGGCTAAAATATTTGGTATTAATAATTAATGCCAGTAGCCTTCCTAGTCTAATAAAGTAAACATGCACAAGAACTACAACTTTAAACAAAACATCACAATTTTATCAGATATATATATGTATGTGTGTATGTGTGTGTGTATGTGTGTATATATATGTATGTATGTGTGTTTGTGTGTGTATAGGTTTATCGCCCTGAAAGCTATCCACTCATGTTTGGCTTAATACGTATGTTAGAAATGTTGGGGAGAGTACCCCCTCTTTAAATATATATTTTTTTTTCCAGAATATACAATATAAATATGCCATATATAAATCATGCCATAAAACTAAATGCAAAATTTGCACATTATTGCATGCTTGATGTGATAATACATGCCCATTAATAACTTCTTTATCCTCCCTTCATAGCTTTCCTTTCTGCACAGTAGCAACACTTGAGAACAAAGGATTCTCAAATATGCTTATAGAACTATGGGTGGGGAGGGGAATGTACCTTTCAGATTCCTTAGGGAGGAATACCTCATCAGCCAAATATTGGACTACTACTAAGTCAAACACTAAATAATGCCTAAGGGGGTGCTTTGTTATGTAAAACGATCAGAGTTCATTTTTCTTAATTTGGCTGGAAGGTTTTGTTCCATCCTAGCCGCTCCTCCAGCCATCTTTTGAAGCTTTGGTGGCAAATCAGCCACAGACTGACTCATGGGATCAGATAACATCTTGGCAGTTTTAGATACCAGTTTTTCTTCTGAGTTCCCAGGAACTGAACTTATTCGTTGAAGTTTCATAGGCAAATCTCCCAAGCTGTAGGCTTTTTCTGAAGTTGTAGAACTCATTCTCAAGAGTTTTTTAGGAAAGTCTTCTCTTCCAGTAATTTTCTGCAGCTTTGATGGAAGTTTTGTACTAATGTCATCTAATCCATCTAAGCACTCCACAGAATTATGTCTTTCTTTGCTGTTAGTTATGGCTGGTGCTATTAAAGGGGATGACATGAGGAGCATTTCTTCCTGTTCTTTCACACTGTAAGGTGGGGTGGGGACTTCAAATGTGGCATGGAACTGGGAGTAATCAACTTTAAAAAATCCTTCTTCTAAGGAAATTACGGGAAAAAAGCGATGGCCCCAAAGAACTTCATCTTCTGTATATGATGTTCGAGCTTGACAAGTCATCCCTACAAGCAAAAAGAGAGTCCTTGATAAATGATGGCATAGTGGAAGCACATGCAAAGCCAGTTGTACCAAAATAATTAATTTTGCTTTCTTACTTATATTGTGGCCATTTATATGGATAGATTTAACAACAGCATAGGCCAAAAGTTTTACTACAGATTAATAGCTTTGATACATATATTTCATCCAATAATAAATACCAGGATTGATACAATTCATGGCCGAAGGGTATTAAATCATTACACAATTGTTTCTTATCCTTAAACCAAAAACAAAGATCACCTATAATAATTATATAACATATAGGTCTCTGTAAGAAAGTAAGTGGGAAAATTATGTAATAATTTCTCATCATTTTAGAAACAATTTGGAGACCAGCAGGTGGTGTAGTGGTTAAGGCACTGGACTCCCATATTGTTGACCACAGTTTAGTCCCAGACCTGGTGACTTAAATATCACACCAAATGCGTATGTGCATGCCCAAAATACTGAGAAGAGAACGAAGAGATTGCAGTGTGGCCATTCCCTCTGGGGAGACACTTCTCACTTTTTCTCTCTCTGTCTCTCTCTGGGGATCACATGAGCACTATGGCAAAAGCCTAAAAGAGAACAAAAATAAAAGAAGTAATATGGTACATGAAACAAACTTGACTTTGAATCCAAACTTTACCACTGAATTCACAAGAAAGACAGCTGAGTATCACTTTTCCTCATTTGTAATGCATGGAAAACACTTGTTTCACAGGGATTGCTATGGGTATGACATAAAATAACGGATACAATAGGACTGCTGAGAGGCATCATATAATTTCTACATATAGTTGTCTTAATAAGTGATAAATTGCTTTTTTATCTCTTCACAGTGAAGACTTGCAGTTGAAGATAAGGGAACAAAAGATAACTCTTCCAAGTTTTTTTCTTTTTTTTTTTTTTTTTGAGAGATTTTTCACTGTAGGGCGCGTACGCTCGCCAGACAGACAGAGAGAGACATAGAGACAGAAAGTGAGAAATCACCCCCCAGGGGGGATGGTCACGCCGCAATCCCTTCTCCTCCATTCTCCTCTTGGGATCTTGGGCACGCATGCACACGCGCCTGGCGTGAGTTTTAAGCCACCGGGTCCGGGACACGAACCGCGGTCGACTATGTGGGAGTCCAGCGACATAGCCATTACGCTAACTGCTGGTTCCCAACTCTTCCAAGTTTTTGCTAAATGAATAAAATGGAAAAATATTTCTTTGTTGGATAATAGGGTAATGGTGGTTCTATTTCTTTGGACCTGTAAGGCCAGAACGAATATTGCCTCTGGACCTACAAAATCAGAATGAACATTGACTCAAATCTTAGAAATCTGTGTTCAAAAATCAGGAATTCGAGCCATATGATATGTTAGTTTCATTCCTAGTAATATCTAGAACTGGATGCTGGCTATCAGATAGAAAATGTTGCTATTTATATATTATGTTGCCTGGATATCATTTATCCCATGGTACTCTAATTTACTCATTTTTTTCTCTTCATAAATTATTTATTTAGCTTGAATCACCATCAGGGCAGTCAACTTCTGAATATTCATTCTGTAAAGACTGAAAGTATATGAAGAAATTAAAACCAGATATCGAGTTTCAGCCTTAGTTAAAGCATACCATTTTCTGTAAGTAGTGAAATCACTGCTTTGCTTTTACTTTATTAATAGACTTCTATTAAGGGCTATTAAAATGTAAAGTTTTAGATGAATTCAAAAATCATCTCAATAGTAAAGTATAATTTAAACAAGTAGTAATAGTCAATTCATTACTGTTACATGTCGTTGTTTTTAAGCTTGGCCTAGTTTGGATATAGGAATATTCTGACATTTTCTCAGAATAAAATGTATGATCAAAAAGCCAAAATTAAGATAAACTGAGCTTTTCATTGAATTCTTCCAAAATCTTATCTTCTGCATACTATTAGTTACATATCACCAGGAAATCAGTTGTTATTACTATATGCCACCTTTTTCAAGATTTTACAAAAATTTCACATAGAAAATAAATGCCTGTCATATGGCAGGCACTGTGTTAGATGGTTTACATATATATATTTAATTCCATTTGTTATTATTATTATTAATTTTTCATTTGACCAGAGAGAGACAGAAAGAGAGAGAGAGAAAGAGAAAGGAAAAGTGAAAAAGCAAGGCTCCAGGTCTGGGACTTGAACCCCTGTCAGCCAGGTGAGAATCGAGCGCCTTTAACCACCAAACCACCTGCAGGTCCCTAGATGTTCTTTCTAGTCCTTAATATCGTCCCATTGAGAAGATATCCTTGTGGCCATTTTAAAGATAAAAACATCTAGTGCTCAGAGAAGGTAAGTCTTTTGACCTTTCTTGAGCACCAGATCTAATAAAATATACAGAAAATATGCCAGTATCATTCTAATTACAATGTGTGACTTTTTACCTTTTTTTTTATAACCATTATGCCCGTGTTATTTTAACTACAACCCTATTCCAAACAATTTATCATTTTAATTCTGTCATGGTACAAATCTAACAGTAATCAAATAATCAAATATCTGTTTTCATATCAATATTCTACTAGAAAAACTCCCAGTTAAATTTATATGAGAAGATAATAAAATTAACTCAAAAAGTAATTTGTAAGTTTTATAGACACAAAACAGCATTCTGTATTTTCTTGCCTGAAAATAAATACTTTATAAGAAAAATATTATAGATTATCACTTAATCAGTAAAGATAAAAATGTACTTCCTCATATATTTACTTGGTTTCATTTCAAGAAGTTTAAGGACACAGAAAATTACCTAGAATAAAGAGTAATATCTAATCTTGTTATCTATTAAGATATGGAATAATAAAACAAATAATGGTCCCTTTGATTCTCTTGTGCAAAATATTTAAGGGACAGAAAGATGGAAAATTATCTATTGATTATAACATGTATAATAATATCTTTAACTGGAGTAATATACAGTGTATGGATGCTGGGAAAATTGACTTTGTTGCTATCATGATATACAGCAATGAAATGAATTGTAAAAAGAATAAAAGCAAAACAAAACCCCACAAATAACGTTGACATGCATTTTAATTTCCTCCTAAAGACAACCATTCTCTTTTATTTTCTTAGAATCTTTTCAGTCTAAGATACTTAAACTTAAGGAAAAAGATCATAAATATATTTTTACTGTTAAGTGATAGTGTTTTCCTTACAATCCTATTTTAATTTGAAAAACTTACTCTATTGAAAATTGATGGCCCAGACCCCCAGATGGCATAATGATTGCATCACTGGATACACACTGACTGTGTGAGTCAACTCCGGGTTGAGTCCCAGACCCAGTGGCTTGAAACTCATGCTGGGCGCATGTGTGTGTGCCAGAATCCTGAGAGAAGAGGAGAAGGAATTGCAGCATGACCATGCTCCCTTGGGGGTGATTTCTTGCTTTCTGTCTTAATGACAAGTGCACACACCCTTTGGCAAAAACTTTTTAAAAAAATCAATGGCAGGCAGAATGATCTAAAGAGAAGGCATGTACTAAATTAAATTAAATGTTTTGAGCAGTAAGATAGGTTTATATGTTGGTCCTTCCATAGTATAAATCCGTGCACACGTTAAGAGCTAAGGCAAATTTGTACAGTTATTTATAACCACACTACAGTGAAATATGGAAAAAAATATGATAGCTACCAAATTTTAGTCATTAAAATTACTTTCACTATGTCAACTCAATTTATTTTGGTGGCCTTATTTTCCATTAGGAAAAAAAGAAAAAGAAAAGAAAAGAAAAATTAAAAATCAAGGGCACCATCCTGACTTGGCAGTTTGAAAATCCTATGAAGTTCATAGGCACACATATCCAAAATCCTGAGAGGAGAACAGAGGAAACGGGATTTGTGGTGTGGACAATGCCCCTGGGGAGTGATTTCTTACTTTCTCTCTTATCTCTCTCTGTCTCTTTCTGGCAAGTGCACACTCCCTAAGGAAAAAAAAGATAATAAATTAAAATTAAAATTCTGCCCACTATTTACCATTACAATGTACCACAGTGCTGTTCCCCAAAGCCAACCTTGAGTTGCTTCTGATGGTAAGGAAAAGCAATATAAAAGAACTATAGAGACTTAAATGGAGAAAAACAAACAAACAAAATCATAGAAAAGAAAATCTTAGAAAATAAAATCTTATAAAATTGTAATTCTGGGGGAAAAGGTCATTGATTATTAAGATACTTAGGTGCTATGACATCTACAGTTGGAAAAGACCATCAAATGTTTGCTTGTATTAAAATATCAGCAAGCATTTTTATTGAAATGCCAGTAAACGGTTTTGACTGAAAAGAAAGTTTTAATGCTTCTCTACCATATGAAATTACTTATTTCCACTGCAAATGGCTATATGTGAAGCAGCATCTTTATATAATTTAAAAAGATATCAGTTTGGCTGACAATTCTATTACTAAATACCTTGTGAAAATCACCTAATGCTCTCTGGTTCTGGATTCTCTTAAACTGGATATAACAGTACCCTCTCTTATAAACCTGCTGAGATTTTTGAAAGTAAAAAATATAGTGCCTGGAATGTAGATATAGCTCAAAAATGACTGCTGTTTTCATTGTTTCACAATGACAATTTGCATGATGTATTTGCTGTTCTGAAAATCAGTGAAAGCGCATTAATATAAATATTTTTCATATTAGTGATTTATTTGTAAAACAAAATTAAATTGGAAAAATCACTGTTTACCATATAGCAATTCGTTCATAAAAACTCTTTTTATGTAATGTATTCAATATTTTTAACATATAGGAAACAATTAAATTATTCATTTTCCCAACTTTTAGAATTTCTCAATATTTTCCACCTAACTATCGTCAAGAGCAGGGGAGACTACATGTGGAAACATGGGGTATACTAAAAAGGTTTGTGTCAAAGTGAATGGCTAAAATGAATGATAAACTATGCTAATCATACCAGAACATTTGCCAGTACCTTGGTTTGTCC